GTAGGGTATATAAGAAAACCACGAAGTACCTCTACAGACCTATAAGCCTATATCCATAGGTTACCTAAACAACTCTAAGCTGCCTTAGTAAATGTAGGGTATATAAGAAAACCATGCTGCACCTCTACAGACCTATAAGCTTATGTCCATAGGTTTCCTAAACAACTCTAAGCTGCCTTAGTAAATGTAGGGTATATAAGAAAACCATGCTGCACCTCTACAGACCTATAAGCTTATGTCCATAGGTTTCCTAAACAACTCTAAGCTGCCTTAGTAAATGTAGGGTATATAAGAAAACCATGCAGTATCTCTACAGACCTATAAGCTTATGTCCATAGGTTCCCTGAACTCTAAGCTGCCTTAGTAAATGTAGGGTATATAAGAAAACCATGCAGTACCTCTACAGACCTATAAGCTTATGTCCATAGTTCACTAAACAACTCTAAGCTGCCTTAGTAAATGTAGGGTATATAAGAAAACCATGCAGTATCTCTACAGACCTATAAGCTTATGTCCATAGGTTCCCTGAACTCTAAGCTACCTTAGTAAATGTAGGGTATATAAGAACACCAATCCAATACAATAGTAGAGCGGTCTGGAGATTAATTTGGAGAAACCATTGAAATAGTTAACCATTTATTAGTTAAGCCCTCTTATTCAATAATTTTTATCCATACAAAGACGTCTTTAGAGATGATAATTTATGATTTATGTGAAAAAAAAAAAACACAATTCCAAAAATTAGTTGTTTAAAATTTCATCGATATAGATGATAATTAAATTTATAAAAACAAAATAGATAGTATTAATTTTAAAGAAAAGATTATTTAAACATATTTCTCATTCAATTATTCTTATAAACCTCAAATGGGTTCGTTTCTCTATTAAAATTTATATACACTAGAGGATAGGAATAAAGATAACAATTATAAAATTATGCAACAAGTCATATTATTTTATACGTAGTTAGGCATTATAACCAATTGATATAGAACAATTCCCAAAATTGTACCCAGGAGAATGCAATAATGAGAAAATCACACACACATAAGAAGAGAAAAATCCAATCTTGTCATTGAAATTAGACTATGAATTATAGATAGGTTGAGGTAATATCTTATTATTACCTTTATTTTTAAAATACCTGACTTTTTTCTAAATCATGTTTTAGTAGGTTCTTTATTACCTCAATGTAAGGAATTTACAAATATATTGATTGGGAAGTGAAATTAAACCTTGAATCTCTCGACAGCTACGACCCGGCTAGGAATCTGGCATTAGACAATTTTTTTTTCTGAAGAAAGACATCCTTTCAATGGCCCCTGAATCTTGAAGAAACCCAAATCCACCAGTAATTGCAAGTAACCAAACTGGGTTGTGGCAAACGGGGCTCTGGCTCATTTTTAAGTGAAAATACGAACTGCTTTTCACATGTGTAGACATGTGTTGCACTTATAGTAAAAGCAGTCGCCTACTTCTAACTACCACGATTACCATGGTCTGTACCACGTGTACTAGGGATTAGCAAAAAGAAAGGGTTGTGACACATGGTTTCTATATGTGTTGATATGTGATGTAGTTGTATAAAAGCAGTCTCGCTAACTAACCATAGATACGAAAGAAACATACCTGAAAATATTTCAATCATTTCGGTTAGTTCTTAATTACCTCAATGTAAGAAATTTACAGCTGATTAATGGAAAAGTGGAATAAAACGTTGAATCCTGAAGCCAATACCCGGGTTCGAATCCCGCACATTGAACATTTTTTTCTGAAGAAAGATATCGCTTCAATAACCCCTGAATCTCGCAGAACTCCAAAAATACCAGCAATTGCAAGTAACCAAACGGGCTGGTGACACATGTTTTCTACATGTGTAGATATGCTATGTAATTGTGAAATAAAGATTGTCACTAACCACAGATAAGAAAGAAAAATACCTGAAAATTTCCAATCATTTCAGTAAGTTCTTTATTACCTCAATGTTAGAAATTTACAGCGGTTTTGTTAAGGAGTGGAATAAAACCTTGAATATCGACAGCCACTTCTGGTTCGAATCCCACATTATACTCTTTTTTTTTTTCTGAAGAAAAATAATTATTTTCATTTGCCCCTGGATCTTGTAGAAGTCTAAATTCAACAGTAATTGCAAGTAGCCAAACGAGGTTGGGGCACATGTTTTCTACATATGTAGATATAATGGTCTATGTGGTGCAATTTGGTGTTTCAAGTGGTACAATTGCAGATTAAAAGCAGTCGCTAACACTAATCATAGAGAAAAATGAAAAATAATTGAAAAATTTCCAATCATTTTAGTAATATCTTATTATAACCTTTTTATTAAAATACCTGATGTTTTTTGCAATATTTTAGTAGGTTCTTTATTACCTCTATTTAATAAATTTACTGTGGATTTGTAGAAAAGTGGGAAAAAAAAAACATTGTTTCTCGACAGAAATGACCCAGGTTCGAATCTCGCACATTTGACTCCTTTTATTTCCTTAAGAACAATATTTATTCAATGAACTCTTCGAATCTTGCAAAGGTCCAACCCTTCCAACGATTTCAAGTAACCAAACGGGGTTGTTGCACACTTTTACAGGCAAAAGTTGAACATGTTTTCTACATGTATAGTTAAGTGGTGTAATTGTAGTAAAAGCAGTCACCAACTAATCATAGATAAAAATAAAAATACCTGAAGTTTTTTTTTTCTTCAATAATATCAGTAGGTTTTTTATTACCTCAATGTAATAAATTTACAGAAGATTAGTGGAAAAGTGGAATAAAATCTTAAATATCAACAGCCACTTCAAGTTCGAATCCGGCACATTTGACTCCTTTTACTTCCTTAAGAACAATATTTCTTCAATGACCCCTGAATCATGCAGAATTTCAACCCCTCCAACGATAACCAAACGGAGATATGGCTAACTTGTAATTGCAAAAGTTGATCTTGCTTTTACATGTGTAGATATGTGGTGGAGGTGTGTAAAAGTAGTCGCTAACTAACCATAGATAAGAAAGAAAGATATGAAGTTAAACTTGTCTTTCTTCTACCTTAGTAGTATCATGGAAGATTTGTCTAATAATATTTTTCCTATGTGCATATACCATAAAACACACACACATTTCCTCTCTATATATTTAAAAAAAAAAACAATAAAAATATTTCATAAAGAGACAAGGGTCGCCTCTCCCGTCAAAATAGACGTCAAAATCAGAAGCCATCTATTCTAAAACTATTCAGAACCATAACTAATGAAAATAGATTTTAAATTGAATTCTTGCCGAAAACAAAATTCTTCGAGCAACTATTGGTCTACAAACATTTTTATTTTTAAGAAAAAGGCATCTCCTTATCGTGCAACTGAAAGTTGCTGATGACTTGCGCCATCTATCGGAATAAATATCAACTATTCTCGTTGATTTTTATTTTTATTGAAATTATTTCTTCAATATAATCGGTATAAACATCATTTGAACCTTTAATATAATAATTTAAACACGTATACCAATATATATTTATATTTTAAAAATATCGTTTAAATTGTCAAAAAAAATCATTTATATAGCAGGTTATAAAAAAATTATTTCAAACTTCCTTTTCATACGAACCTGATATAGAATTTCAAAAAGAAACGGTAAACATTTTTTAAATAAATGAAATACAATCAAATTTTCGAATTACAAAGGAGATAAATGTTAATAATCATTATACGTTTTTTTTTATATTATCCCTAGTACACGTGGTACAAGCTTTGCTAATCATGGTGGGTAGAAGTAGGCAGCTGCTTTTACTGTAAGTGCACCACATGTCTACACATGTGAAAAGCAGTACGACTTTTGCTTTTACAAATGTGCTAGAGCCCCGATTTTTTACTTGCACTCGCTGTTGGGGTTGGAGTTTTTCAAAAATCGGGAGCAATTAGAGCATTTTTATTTAATTAGAAAAAAAGTGCCCAATGCGGGATTTGATCCCGGCTCGTAGATGTCGAAAACCAACGGTTTAGACCAATCGTCCACCGACTCCCATCATTATACGTGACAAATTATAATATGAATTCACCTGCGTGTTATTATAAGTTATTCCTCAGAGCTCACTCACACGCCAGGAGAGCCTATAACAGCTTGCGTGTTATCTAAAAACCAGTACATTGAATCATCTGGTTCAATTATTATTGATTTTAACTACATTTGATAATATCTTGGGAGTATATTGTTGTCATAAAGTTATTAATTGAAAGATTAAATTGCTATATAAAGTATAAATAAAAATATCAAAATTCGAAACTATTATAGACACGTATGATTCTTTTTAAAATAAAAAAAAATTCTACTGTCCTTACTGCAATGGAAAAATTAATGGGAAGACCTGGCTCATCAGTGGTGAACCTTCTCAGCGGTTTCGCCAGTTCAATCTACCATACCGTTGTTATATTGCATTTTCGATTTTCCTTTTATAGTGATACTGATGCTTGACTCTTCGAATGGGTATTTTAGAAGAATTATGGACATAAGCTTTGAGGACAGTAGAATTACATACAATTATAAATATATAAAGTTTAGTTATACACGCATATTCTTAAATATTTTGTTTTAAAGAGTATTTGCACAGGTCAGCTCTTTAGCTTTGATTTTTATCGAAATATTGGTGAAAATACATTGTATTTTATATAAAAAGTCATATATTGTAAATTAGAAAACAGTTTTATATATAACGCGTCTATAATATTTTCGAATTTTTATAACATATAGCGCGCTAAGGCATCATAAATAAAAATATAAACAGTTAGCAAAGCGTTTCTTTATTTGTTGAAAGTGCAAGCT